ATGACCCAAAAAATGTTCTTTCAAAAAACTTCCGTATTTTACCTTTTCATTCGCCACATATAGTCCCTCCCTTGTCTATCGTTGTCTACATTTTCCCACCCTCCGGACTCTTTTGAACCGAATTGCGAATTTTTGAAAGTTTTCGTAGCAAGCACCGCCCACCCATAGAACGCCCCGCCCATAATGGGTGTGCTTGTCTCATTTCGTCGCCAGCTGATTGCCTATCGTTTTCCTCCAAGAACCAAATTATGAATTTTTTTAAGAATTAGACCACAACTGTGCGCACGCCCCGCCCACAGTGGGCGGGATAGTTCATGTGTGTTCCGTACATCTTGGCCCATGCCCTACCCATCCCACCCTTGACCCGCCCCTGAAGCTCTTCAGGTGATTCCGAATTTCCGGACAGACAGACAGACAGACAGACAGACAGACCGACAGACAGATACAACAGACGACAACAGACGTTGCAATTTATATAGAGTAGGATCACGTAACATTAACTTTTGGGCCGCTTTCTCATCATATACTGGACCAGCGCTTACATTTGTTGCGTCCATGTTTTCTTATAAAAGCAGTCGAACAGAAAATGGGCCATGAATCAGAAATGAGTCAGCTGGCCAGCTTGAATAACGTCCCTTGCGCTGTGTGAAATATGTGCATAGCTACAAAGTGCATCAATCATATTTAAGCACTAGTACGTGACAGCCGGCTGGTTGCGAGCATCAAAAACTTTCTCAGATATGGAACAGACAAGCAAACGAACACGAATAAATAAAAGACCCACGATGATTGTCTATGTACGAAATTCATCACCACTTCAATTTAAGTATTTTGCTTTGTAGTGACTGGTTCTGATATTGTGTGAGGCAATGAACCATGAAAAATGTCGTTAGTGAAATGTCTGGTCTCACTTGCAACGAAATCAAATAATCTATTCTTTGGGACATTCAGCGGAAGGCAGACGCTTTTCCGGGACCGGATGACTGGTAGAAGTGTTGCCTGAGCCTCGGGGAAGCCTTACGAGCTGTTTGGAATGTAGCGCTTCATTCGGAATTTCATGAGCACTTTAGCAGGTGTTCAGTCTGCATAAAGATGTGCAAAACAGAACTTTGTTATCGCAGTCGCATAAATGAGCGTGGCGGTGTCCCACTTGAACTGATGGAATTTGGCTCGCCTGGCGGCTTCTGAACTGCGAAATCTCGCCCTGGAGACATCATGTACATAACTACGATACTAAATTTTTGGTTGCAGACACATGTGGACACCAAGTATACTGTAGTTCGCTGCGGACGGTTGGGCGTGTCAGTGCGGCTGCGTTTGGCGCGGTGCCAAACTCGTTCTCCACCAGTTGTTGAAGCGGGCAAGTGACAATACTGTATCATATCCTTCGTATTACTCGTTTTCTACCACTTTTTGTCGCATGCGCGTTTCAACAAGAGGCAGAGAAGGCTCTGAAGGTGTGAACACTCTT